AGCTAATCAAACAATCAGCAGAAAATAAGAAAAACACTGATTTACTCACTTTACAATTAGGACAGGTGGTACTTCTAGTCTCCATGTTGGGCACAGCATTTGTTTTCAGATGAAGATTGACAAACTAGGCCTTTGTGGCTCATCACCAACTTTTATTTACTTCTCCCTATTGATTCCTTGTCTCAGGATCTATAGTTAGACAGCAATATTACAACCCCAACCTTCAGATCTTGCCGACACATATGTCTTTCTGTGGATTAGACACAGTATCCAAAGCTACAATTCTGACAAAATATAAGATTGAAGAAGACAAAATTCGATTCACCATGCAATTCATCAGCCTAGGAGAGAAACATATCTAGCTTTTGATTTCTTGAAGAAGCAGTAGTTAAAAATATTTATTTGCTTCTTGGTCATTAGCTGTCTTTGCACAATTTTATGTCCTGATTTTATTTCCACCATTTGCCTGAAATTGCAACCTGGTTAAAAGGGGGTTTATCTGAACCCAGAGCATCATCATAAATGGCAATAAATGTGTTTTATTCTTTCATATGAGAAATAAGAAGTAAGCTCATTTACAAGGATGATAGAAAGCAGAAAGTCATTCTACAATACTATTTGCTAGCCGGGTTTCACTGTAAGATAGTTTTCTTATAAAACCTGTCAGGAGTTTTTGTTTTTCTTTTTTTTTCTAGATTTGTTCTTAGTTATAGTAGAATAGCTTTCACCAACTGCAAGACTCCACGGAGTACATCGCCATTATGTTTACATCTGGTAGCAGCTTATCTGCTCTTTTCACAGTTTTTAAGCAAACTTCTAAGCAAGAGCCAGATCTTTCACAGACCAGACTCCCTCCCCAGCAGCTCTGCTCCCCAGTTCACCAAGTTTTGTGAGAAGTCCCACTGGATTCAGCCTTACAAGGGGATTACATTGAAATCAGTCCTGTACACTAGTCTAACTCTCAATGGGAATATAAACTCTAATTCCCAACTGGAACATAGCCCCTTCAGAGACCCCAGAAGAAGCATGCACATTTTCTAGCATTTCTGTGCAGATCAGACAGGATTTACCAGCAGGAAGGTTACATGCCAGGAGACCTCCTCTCCCTGCTGTGCTGGCAGGTTATTATTCACATCACAAAGTGCAGCCCCAGCTGTGTGCCAGGATACAGCCTGCACCCACCTGTATCACGGTCACCATACAACACACTCCCAGGTCCAGCTGCCCTTCCAGGAGGCACCCTCTCCAGGCAGACGTGGGCACACATCGCATCATTCCCTCTCCCTCAGGGTGAAAGAACACCCTTCTTCCCCTCAAATACCAAGAAACAGGAAAAAAGGTATCATTTCCCCCCCCCCCCCCCCCCCATACACACACCTCTGTGACTAATAGGGCTCTCTGTAGTATTTCATAGTACTGCTTGGGGAGAGATCAATACAGTGAGTGGAGGATGCGAATTACTGGCCTGCAAACAGCTGAACCACGAAGCTCACTGTGCTGTCAATCCTGCCCTTGCAGTTTGTCTCAGCTGCCTGCTGCACCTTTCCAGTATGTAAGCTCTTTTTGCACTCTGAGCCCTGTGGTTTTCTCAAGACAAAATACAGAGACCAAAGTGAGATTCTCCCCTGAAGAAGAGCTCCTACATCAGTTTTTGTTATCAGGGAGTGCTGAAAGGCGGAAAATATTTAAAGCTAGACTCACACAGACCAAAAAGCTCAATAAGAACGAAATAAAAAAAGGAATTCTTACTAACTTATTGATAGCAACCTTTTGTAATTTGCTACAACACTATCTCCATCTCCTTTCCTTTCCCCTTACCAGCCAGAAATTCCCTCTATATACCTTTTCAGCAGCTAGGTGGGCCCCAGGCTCGTTATGCTAACCTCTTCCAGCTGCTTCAACATAGTTGAGAAATCACTTTGAATGGCTTAACGCTCCCATTGCTAAAGACAGAGTGCAGTTTGAAGAGGTTTTCTTCCTAAATTTCTTCCTAGGGATGGTTCTGGTAGCGTTTCTTGCAAGAAAAGTGTGGCAGTGTCTACTTTCATATTACGGGGCCTAATTCTGTGAACGTGTCCATGCAGAAGTCACACAGAGAAGTGTCATCAGTGTCCCAGTGACTGCAAGGTCTCTGTGAACAAAGAGGCATCTGCTGGCCTTGCTGGTACAAGAATTGCCTAAAAACGCCATGGAGATGAAACATAATAAACAAGGCTAAAATTAGAAAATCCAAACAGTAAGCTGACAGTATTTTAGCAGCATTTATACCACATTCTTTAAAGTACAGCACAGCAGTGCCTCGCTGTAAGAAATTTCTCCCAAACAATGATTCATGATACCGCTGGGATAAAATTCTAATTAAGATCTTTGTTTGCAGTTAAAACTCTCTGTCTGAAGTACAAAGCTCTCATAGCATGAGGATGAGTCCACCCAAGACCATTTTCTCCATTTAAAGGATTTCCTCTCTCTTGTGGCTCTTTTTAGCCATTTCTCTAAGAAAGTTGTTCCTATAGAATTGGTGGGTCCCAGCCTAGGAAAGGGTTTCAGTTTTAAACCAATTGTCAGAAGGGGAAAATTTTAAAATTAAATTAAATGCCTACGAATTTTGGGGTAATGAAAAGAGGCCAAAATGAGGGCCCCCAAAGAGGCAGTGTGGAGAACAGTCATAAAATGGCTGTCTTATCAACAGGCACGTAACTTCATGTTATCCACGGCACGGATTATGTCTTGCACAGCTAACGGGCTAAAAATATGTGGACAGAGAACGTGGGGTGGGGATATTATTGCAGGGAGCTATGGAGGAAGCTGTGACTTTGTGGGGAGGCCTGCGAAGAAGCTGAGGAAATCTGCAGAATGAGTGGCATTGCAAGGCAGAAATGTTGTAGGTTCATGGTATTCAGAACATAAGTCACAATTTCACTTGACTGGATTTCATGTGAGCACAAGGGCCTGCTCAGGCAGGTTAGTTCCGAGGCCCTGATGCCTTGGCAGTTTCTCTGGATCTCTCTTAGATTTCAGCTTCATTCTGAATAAACAGAGCACTAACTTTACATTTCTGTCTGATTTCAACGCCTTTACCAACTGCGTATGTAAGGCTCCTCAGTGAATACAGCCTTGTCTGAAGTGGAATATGGCAGTGACTGTGTGCTTTAGTAGGAGGTGTGAAGAATAATTTTGACATTCGAGACTATTGGAAACAGTATGTAATTCATTGCCTTGAGATGGAATGCGGCCATAGTTAACAACCTGAATCTGAGAAAAGAACTACAGAATCTCAGTCTGAAATCCCTTTCAGAAGGTAGCATCTTTAGTCACACACCGCCTCATCACCAATATAGGTCAGCCTCCAAAAAAGCGGTGCCATTTTTTTGAGCAGCCAGGTTTAAATTCCCAGAGACGTCTTATGATTTATACTGGCATGAGATCTCAGCCGCATCACAAAATCTGCTCCTTCCTGTATTCTTTCTGTTCTCTGGAGGTCTCCCAGATGAATATTGAGCAAGTCCGACCTGCTTAGTGCAGAAGATCTGATGAAATCATCCCCTGAGGTGTTGTGACTACTATTTTTGCATTTGCTTGAATTGGCAATGCCTGAAGGTACCAGTTGACAGATTTCAGAATGTGAAAATGATTAATCTGGGGGGGAGTGCCCTGAAACACTGCCACTTTATGGCAGTTCTAACGTAACCTGCATTCCAGCAACCCTTTAAAGAGCTATTTAAAAAGAAAACCCATCTGAGCTACCCAGTGAGCAGCATTCCATGAATCACTGAAGCACAGACCCAGGCTGTCCCAGACAGTCGTGCCTTTTTCTCTAGGCCACATTTTCACTAAGCACTAGCTAAGGGAAGGCATCATCCTGCAGCCACACCGCTGCACAAACCAAATGAAATCAGGCATAAGTACAGCAGAGCGAGGCAAGCCTGAAGGAGGTGTGATGAGAGCTTTATTAGAGAGGACATATGGTTTTTAAAGAAAGGGTCTTCGGCAGTCAGCTGGAGGTGGCATAATTATTCATCAGGAAAACAACAGCAGCTACCAAGATCTTCTCCCTCCCCTGCTGGCTGAATAGATTTCTTGCAGCCCTTCAGTGGGCAACTGGTTTTAACCTACCCTCTGTAAACAACATTTCAGATTAGGTTGATTTAGGAGGAAGCTCTTACTGTTAAACAAATCATATATATATATATATATACACATATATAAAACATATATATACACATAGTTAACTCCACTTCTTGCACCCCCTACTTTCAGATCTTTTGGCTACAACTCAGCAAGACGATCCCCGTGAACACAGAGCAGACGTACATGTTCGTGTGTGCTTGTGCACGTACATAGATACAACACTTTGTAACCTTTGTAACGGTGTTAATACTGTGAGCCTTTTCTTGGTACAGAGGCAAGCCGGTGGGATGAAACTCAGGCTGTTCATTCCTCCTCTATATTTGTTTGTCACATGAGATTGTTCCCCGCTTCGTATCAAGTAGCAGTGGTGTGTACAGATCAGAGAACCGCAAGCAGGTTCATTCCAAGTCTTGGCCAGCCAAAGGGTTTTCCTACAAACACTACTTCTTGGTCCATCCCCACAAGAGACGCTGTGAGAGGGCGTAGCTAAGAGGGAACAACCCTTGGCAGAGTTCCTTCCTGACCATTTGCTCAGGAATGAGGGATGCCCATCATGGAGCAGCTCGTAAATCTTTTATGGCAAATTCCTCGGGATTTTCAGGCATCCAGAGGGATCTGTGTTTCCTGAGGCCACTTGTAGGGATGCCTTGTGCAGCTGCCAGGCTCTTGGCTCCAAGTTTGGCTCCAGAGCATTGTCCACATTAAAAGCATTACCCTATTTATTTCCTTGGTGCGTTCTTTATCAGACCTTGGCATGGAAAGATATATTCAGCCCCCAGGGAAATCTTTGATGGATTTAGCATTGAAAATGAATAGGGAGAAAACTGTTAAAGAGTAAAGGAATTAGGCAGAGGTGTGTGATGCTGATGGCAGTTATTCATAAATTTCTGACCACATCTTCCTGGGAAACATATAACCTTTATCTGTTCATAGGCCTTCCCAGAATAGTGATGACTGCAAAATGGCCTGGAAACGCTTTTCTGGAGATAAACAATGGAAATGATCTAACATTAAAAATAACCCTAAAGGCGAAAAATCAGAAATGACTTTGAAACAAAGGAAGGGTGGAGTAAGCAACCCTTTTGGAGAGATTCATACCCTGCTTCATTAGGCTTATAGAGCCCAGGAATGCCAGGGAAGGTTGCATCAGAAATCTCTAAGATATCTGCCTGTATGTTATTAAAAAAAAAAAAAAAATGTTCTGAACTTATAGGAATTAGTGAACCTATTGCAAAATTCACAGCAGTTAAAATTAGATTTTGAGTGATTTATCTTTTTGCCATTGTTTCAGCATGTGACACGACATGACGAGAGGAGGTTTTCTTGCAAACAGTATTTGAACCACAAAACGCTATTTTGCAGTAGAGAATGTACTTCCAAGATTTAATTCAATACTGAGTGTTACACAAATCATATGAAAAACAGCCTTGCTGTGGTAACAGCACAATTAAGCACAGGTGGCCAAAGTATTTTGACTCTTGGACTGAATTTTGAATTTCTGGTACACGCTGCTGCTTCAGTTTTGTTAGTACCAATGCAGCTGCATGCTTCCTTGTAAATCTATACCTGGCATGTGATAGAAAATGAGCAGAACATTCTAAACTGAAAAAAAAAAAAAAAAAAAAGATGCAAGTCAAAGCTTCAGGCATAATTTTGCAAGCTAGTAACTAAAAAGCATCTTTATTCACAGCTGTTATTTCTATTGACATCAGGAAACTGCAAACAAGTTTTTTGTTGTTGTTGTTGTTTGCTTTTCTTTTTTCATTTTTTTTTTCTCCCACACAGAAGGTCTGTAGGATCTGCGTCTCCCAAGTGAACAGTTCAGAGTTCATAGTCATCCAACTTTTCACTAGCCTGCCTAATGCGTCACGCCTGACACCAGATCTAAACAACGCATACGTTCCCAAAAGGGCTTCGTTGTGATTGGCAGGCCTGCGAGGAGTTGCTGTCAGATGCTATGCACATAGCTAATTGCATCTCCCAGTTCTGTGAAACCCATCAGCTCATAAACTTTGAAACACATGCTTAGTGTTGTCAGATTTGCTCATAAATACAACAGATAAATTGCAAGAGACTGAGTTTAATGGAGTGATGGAAGAACATCAGCTCCAGGCTAGAAGTGTTTAGTAGGAGTAGGACTGATAGCTCCGGAAAATCCATCAAATTTAGTTAGCTAGATTGACCTTCAAGGAAATTATGTAGGAGGTGGTTGCACAGGCAGTGTGTGGCCTTGTGTAGTCTACAGGAAGAAGAGAGAGTGCATTACTGAGAGCCTATCCTTTATAATAACACATCTCTTCTTCTTCCCACTGATAAGATAGCAACCGCCATTCTCTTTGTCGTCTTTCTTTCTAACACTTCTATCCAAAATAAGGATAAAAGTGTGCTGAGAATTATTTGGTTGTTGTGGATATAAACCTGGGAACTGTCGTGTTCTCTGAACCATTTGGTAGAGGAGCTGAGGGAAAAAAGTCAGTCCTAGAAGTCCTAGAAGTGAATGTAGTTACATCTGAATTACAATTAATTACAAATAATTCAAACTTACAATGAAAACTAATTAGCCTGCATGGTCTTCAAGGAATATAAACAAGTTTACATACCAAAAGCATGTGTCTCTTTTTTCTCACCCTTACAGTACTATAACAATTTGTAATAGCACATAGAAGACCCATAGACGAAAAAGGTTAAACTGGAAGACAAACAGGAAAGAGATGAACTCAACTCCCAATTTCAGAGGGTGAAAGGTGTTGGACTGAAGAGGAGCTGGAAGAAAACTATGGTGAGAGGAGTAAGAAGTATGGACCATGTGAAGAGGTCTGCTGAGGAGGCACAGAGTGTTGCAGGGAGCCTGTCTTCCCATCTTCCAAGCCTCCTGGTGGACCTAGAAGAGGCTGGACTGAGTGGTGTCATTAGCAATAAAATGCAGGTAAGGAGAGTTTTAATGCTTCTGTTGCAGGCTGCCATGAGCTCAATACACCCTTCTATATCCCATGCTATCCCCCCAGCAGGGCTCACTGCTGCAGATACAGTCTGGGCCTGGCAACCTCCCCACAGTGGGCAAGAGCTCGGCCAGCCAAGGAGCCTGGAGCCTGTGTGTGCTGTGACTCACACTGCCTCATTCCTCCAGGGTTACGCAATTAGCCTTTTTTTTTTTTTTTTTTTTTTTTCCTCCATAGCAAGGTTTTCTTCCACATTCTTTCAGTGGTTTTGTTTCCCTTCAGTAAAAGTGCCCGCCTTTGTCATGATTTCACCCAAAGTGCGCAGGAAATTAAATAATGCAGCCTGGCCCAGTACCAAGGGCCCATTTTCTCAAGGGGAACAGGAAAAGGTGATAATGATTTCAGGAACTGGAAAACAAATACGTTCTATGAGGCCTGCAATTGTTTCATGTGAGTGAATAAAAACAATGAGCCTTGAGGCCTGAGGAAGCAGCGTGTGGCTCCAGCAGGACCAAAAATAGCTCGGGCAAGAATTTCTTCGCTGTTACCGCAGAATGGAAAAATAAAACCGCGTTTAACCGGCGGCATATGAGGCAGGGGACGACATTGTTGCGATGCCGATGCGGGCCGGCGGGGCGCAGGCCGCAGGCGAGGCCCGGCCCAGGCGGGGGCAGCACCAGCGGCCCGCCGGGCCCCACCGGCCGCGGCTCCGCGGCGCCCCCCGGCGGCAGCTGCGCGGCGCCGGCCGCCGCCGCCACGCGAGGCCCCGGCTTCGGGCCGCGCTCGAGCCCAGGGCAGGCCCGGCCCCGGCCCAGTGCCCTCAGGGGGCGTGTGAGGGAGAGCGAAAATTTGACAGTTTAAGCATGGATGCTTTATGCTAGGAATAGACTAAACAATTCATGTGCTAATATTCAATAAAATGAATCATTTCTTACTGATTTTACTCGAATTCTTTGCTTGTGGTGAAGAAGCTACTACTCTGTACTAGACAGGGTAACTGAAAATGGGGAAATGAACTTTTTGTAGCTATCCAAATGGGCTCACCGTGACACGTTTTGCATATGATTTCAACAAAACAAACAAAACAAAACAAAACAAAACAAAACAAAAACAACAGAGCAAATAGCATGCTAGCTTTTCCCAAAGATTATTATAAAATGGTGGATTTGGGTCAGATTTTAAATCCCACTAGGTACCTGTCCACCATCCCAGGCAGGCGCTTGCTTGTGTTAGAGGCTTCAAGCATTTCAATCTTCCATAGCAGCACTGTGCAATCTAACAAGAGTGGATACTGTTGTGGAGTAGTCTTTGCTGGCATGAATTTGAGGTGAATGCTTAACAAGCATTAAAGCTGTGAGTGAATTACATAGCTCATTCTATTGAGTTCTGGCTCATCTTTACCCCATTTGCCATTAGTTTGACGCACGTTTCAGAAAAATAGATATTACAAAAAAAAAAATCTAAGAACTGTAAAAGCTTTTATTATGTCCCTTTTCCAAATCCCTTCTTCCTTTAAAGCTGTCTTACTTGTTTTGAATAGAAGTGTCAAAGCTGACTTCAGGAAAGGTCTGATTATTACTTATCTATGCATAAACTGAAAATTCTGGAGACTAACTGAGACTTTTGGGAACAGAAGCTGAGACTCTCCACTTCCCTGTGATACAAAATTCCAGATGCTACCACAAGTGGAGCAGGAAAAGTTATGCTTGAGGAATAGTTATGTGAAGAAAGCCTGTCATACGGGGCCTTTCAATAGGCGTTCATTTGGAGGCAAAATACAACACCATGAGAAATTAGGAGGCATGTATCCTTCAGGACTTAATTTTGTTTAATATTATATTTTGAAAACTACTCAGGTACCAATTAGAGTAAAAGGCACCCAACAGTCTGCAGTCTGGGGCTGATTTGTGTAGGATACCTCAATGAATCCTATTTCTCTCATGTTCTTCAGAAGCTTCAACTGTACAGAGCTGTACAGTGTCTTCACAGTGTGCAGAACCAGAGCCCACCAACTAGGGAAATAAAAAAAAAAATAGATAAAGTAAATTAATTTTGGAACGTAAAGGTACATGCCTCAAGATAACTGCAATAGTGTAACATGAAATTCATGCTCATTGAGCTGATGTCTCTGACTGTCCATGGATCTGGTGCTGCCAGTACTAAGAGATGGCATTTGAATAAAAACATTACGTGTCTTTTTCTGCCCACTTACTGAAAGATCAAAATAGAATTAGGTCCATTTCCATGTAAGTACAAGGAAATCCCCCTCCAGTTGCCTTATGAAGTACTAAATGGATACAGAGTCATATCTGAGCTTAGTCACTAGGTATAGGGTAGACACAATATAGGAAAATGTAGACAGGAAATTTTCCAGTGAAGAGTGATACATTTTCTGAAAGAGGCTGCTCTGACTAATTCTTCTAAGAATTTAAACCGTGATTGCAAATAAAAGGAGACAGCAGGCAAATATTGCTTATTCCTGCAAAATAACATGAATAAAACCAATTACTACTGCACTGACCTATCTGGTTTTATTTTAGATTGAATTGTTACTCTGAATAGTAAGTTAACTTACTGAATACACATGAAAGAAAAACACACACACACATATCAGCATGAATAAACAAAAGGATTGTTTTACTCCAAACGAAAAGGCTATATATTTCATCTCCATTACTTTGCAATGGAGTTTTATTTGAGTTATGGTTTGAGTATAAAGTTATGATTTAGGTATGCATACTGGTATCTCTAATGGATGTTGCATGTCTTTGTATGTTGTAATGCTAAAGCACCATTAGAGTTAGGAACAAAGTCTTCATCCATCTGCTATGGTTTGAGTTCACATGCAGGATTCTTCATTTTTGTGTTGTATTTCTGAAGCTATTCCAGGATGGCTTCAGCAACCTGAAAACTGGCCCATACACTTTGTTTGACAAAGTTAAAACCTAAACAAAATCATGGGCTAGTTCATATCTTGGTTTTGATCTTCTTTTTGTTATTTCCAAACAAAACCTCACTGCACTCAAAGGAGACTTGGTCTTTCCTTGGGCTGAAGGCCTCAAGGGGAAGCCAAGGTGCCAGGGGCAGTGCTGGCATTGTGGTAGGAAGCTGAACACGCTGGGGGAGTGCTGAACCATATCATATGCTGGCAGTGCCACTGAAGTGTATCGTGCTGCTGCTTCAATTTTCACATGCAATAAAAAAAGGAAGATTTGTGGTTTAAAAGACTTCAGAGCTCTTTCCTGAAAGGTCTGCTTTAGTGTCTTTGCTGAGCTTCAGTGGAACCATTTGCATTGCACTGATTGCACTATTCAAATTGGTTTTATTATTGTTCCGCACATTTTCGAAACTGTGGCAAGATGTTACCCGTGTGGCAGTACAGGTGTTCCTCTGCAGGAGTGGCAGCTCACCAATGCCAAGTGAAATAATGGCTGTAATGAAATAATGGCTGTAAATGTGGCTTGTATTGGAACAATATACAGCGTGTAAATGGACATCATTACTAAACCAAAATTACACATGATTTCTGTTAACTGTGTATGTTTTACTGTAGGCAGAAAGCTCATTTGAAAGTCTTTCTCTGTTTCATTTTTTCTTCTATGGAGGTTGATAAATGTATCAGTGCTATGTGGTATGTGTGAAATTATACTATGACCTGTGAATTTAAAAGCTGAATCTGTCTGTGATATCCATAGGGAAGTCCGAGATTTTATCCCAGAATTTCCACTATCCAATGTTTTTAGTCTTGTTTTATTTTCAGGTCATCTGTTCCATGAAGAAAGAAGATAACAGCCATCTGGGAGATTAGCATATATATTTTATGAAGCAGAGCAGAACTCTCTCTTCTACTGACTCAGATGCTAAAGACACAGATTCACAGCCTCGCTCCTAGCCAGCACAGCACAGTTTCCAAAGCTGATGTTACCAGTGGCTTACTTCTCTCCCTTGCAGTGACATTGGCGTAGCAGTTCTTTTCTAAAGTGGGAAAAAAAAACACAGTCCAGTTTTACAGCCATGCAGAAAAGTAATTTATAGTGATAGAAGAATCAATTTGTCAGTAGAGATTACATTATTTGAGGAGACATTATCAGTGATTGATCAAATAACTGTCTACTGGCATAACACACATCTCCAGAGTGCTTTATGTGGCTCTAGCTGTGGGTATAACCATGGAACACAGCTGAGATACATCTCTGGGAATGAGAGCATTAGTGCTGAGGTAATTTAAGATGCAAATATGAATGACCATGGAATGTAAAAGGAGCGAGCTGCACTAAGGAGACGCACCAAGGAGCATCTCCTTAATGTTTTATAGTTATGTATTGTGCTGGTAGAGATGTGCTTTCATCAAAGCTATAGTTGGTAAAACAGTAGTGATCTTGTACTGTTGACTGTTTCTGTTCCAGTACTTTTTCTTCCTTTTAGATCTTCTCTTTTATTTTTTTTATTTTTTTTTGGGGGGGGGGAGTAACATCTTGATTTTTGCTCTCACAGAGCACACAGACTAGGAGCCTAGAGTGCCAAGTTTTTGATATCCAATGTAGTTTTATAACTATGGACTGGCACAGTAGTAAGATGTTGTTACAGAGCAGCTAGGTCCAGTGAAGAGGGAGGAAAGGTTTCAGTTCAAAGAAAAAGTACTAGTGTAGTAGTCTGCATAAATATACCAGAGAAGATTCAGCAAATGTTGTCCTAAATATATATGAATGATGAAACGGAGTCAGCAGAGCACTTTCCTTAGCTTCTTAAAACAAAACTTCTTTTTTTTTCCTCCTTTAAACAATGTTTAGTGTTATTTTCTTCTTCCTTTTGCCAGTTACGGAAATATTAACTTAACACTTACTGATCCTTCTTTTTACCTTGATCACAAGAACAGCCCTTCCAATCTGGCCAAATCTTTTCATTCAGAAACCACTTTCTGACACAGCTGGTTAAAGATGCCAAGAGAAATCTGTGAAAAGGGTAAAAACCGATCAGGGCTCTTCCCGAGCATTTCCCTGGACACTCTCCCAGATCCAGGCACTTGTTGTTCTGGGCTCCCTGAGCAAGCCAGACCGTCTCCGTAGAAACAAACACATCGCAGGGAAAGGAAAAGGGGGCAGAAAAGGAAAAAAAAAAAAAAAAAAAAAAAAAAGGCAAAAAAGCAAGATCTCTTTTACAAGACGACTGTTTATCACAATACCAAGGCATCCCACAAGAGGGCAGGGTTCTGTCTCGTTAGGTCGCTGCAGCAGACAACCCGAGCTTGGCCTGAAGTCCATTTTTCTCATCATTTTCACCATCAGCAATGTAACTCTCTACTTTAAAGTTTTCAGTGTTACGCAGCAGTGATCTAAATAAGTTTTAAACAGCTGAAAGACAGGAGACTTCTATTTTATGTCTCACTAAAATTTTTATACTACAATTTTTAAAGCTTTGAATTATATTTGTATGTTTTTGTTGTTTTTTAATTATTTTCCTTAAATGTAATTGCACAGAAAAGTATTGCATGCAACTGTGGCTGTTTTTAAATAGGGACATTAAAATCAGTCCTTCAGATTTCATCTCAGTCATCTGTTATTTGAACTTCAAAAATTAAAATACAGCTATTTGTTAACCCTCAGCTTCTAAACGCAGGCTGTTGCTGACAGGGAGAGGTCTGCTGTCCCCTTCCCCATCCTGCCCTACTTCCCCACATTGTGCCGGCTTTAATGATCGTGTGTATGTACAGTCCTAATGCGAGTCAGATCAACCTGAAAAGCTGACTGAAATCTCACCACCTTTCCTTGGTGGCTTAGCTTTCAGCTAGATAAATGAGCTGAAACGACTCTAGAGCCACTCAGTCACTGCTGGTGGAATCAGGAAAGCAGGTCAAGCATGACAGGGGACAGGGAAGTCCCCTTCAGCATCAGCTCTGAATAAGAGGAAGCACTTCTCTGCTGGTGGGTGGCAGAGCACTGGCACAGGCTGCCCAGAGAGGCTGTGGGGTCTCCTTCTCTGGAGATATTCCCAACCCACCTGGGTGCTGTCCTGTGCAGCCTGCCCTAGGTGGCCCTGCCTGGCAGCGGGAGGCAGCTGTCTCCAGGGGTCCCTTCCGACATCAGCCATCCTGTGCCTGGGCTCAGTAATACGGGATAAGCGTACACTGATTGTGAAAATGCACCATTAAGTAACAAAAGAATAGTGGACACCATCAGATCTACCCTCACTGGCAAGAAAAGATGGAGATACCATAAAATCTACTGCTCATTTCTTAGACGAGTCTGATTTGAATACTAGTATTGAAACATGCCTAAATCCTGCATGTCACATTGAAGTGTTCTGAGCTCAAGCATGTATTTTGCTTTTCAATTCCTTTATAAAATAACAGATGTTGATGTTGATCTTTTTTCTAGGTGAGGTGTATTTGCTTCCTGTCAGAAATAAAGGCTGTTTGTGAAAAAAGGCACTTGAAAGTCCTCAGTGCCATGCAGGGTTCTCTGAGATACTTTCTCAGATTACTAAAATTCTTTATTAAAACAATTAAATCTTTATTAGATTATTACTATATTTCATGGGATGGATGTGCTTTCCCAGAAAACAAGACTAGCCGATTCATGTATTTTACAGGCACCAGTAGGGATTCTGAGCGCCACGTTTAACTCAGCGCACGCTCTCCTTAAGGCCCTCATCCTCCTGTCACCGCCACAGCGGCCGCGGCGCCTCACGGCGCAAGATGGCGGCGGGCTGGAACACGGCCGCTCGCCCGCCCCCTACCGGGGGCCGTCCCCCCCCCCGCGGGACCCGTCCGCGCGCAGGTCTGGCCCCGCCCCTCCGCCAACGCCGCTCTGCCATTGGCCAGCGCCGCCGCCGACCGGAGAGGGTGGCCCCGCCCCCTCGGCGCGCCCCGCCTTCAGCCCTCCCCGCGCCGTGCTCCCCTCCGCAGCCAATGAGAAGCGGCGGGGTGGGCGGGCCTGGCTGCGCTTAACTGACAGGCTGCCGCGCGGCCAATCGGAAGCGAGGGCTGGCGGGGCGGCGGCCAATCGCGAGGCCGCCGGTGAGTGCGCGACTCCGGCGCGAGGGGGGCGGGCGGGCGTGTCCGCGCGGGCGAGCACCCGCCAATCGGACGCGAGGAAGCCTTGACGGGCGGCGGCGGCGCCCAATAGCGGCGAGGAGCCGGAACGGCCCCTCCCCTCCGCCCGCCGAAGCTGCCAGAGAGTCAGGTGGCTCCGGGATGCGCGGCGGCGGCGGGCGGCGGCGGCGGCGGCCGGGGCGGGGGACGCGGCCGCGGTGGCGGCGGCCCGGCGGCAGGCGCTGCCCGGCCTCGCCTCTCCCCGCGCTGGGCTGAGGCGGCCCCCCCCGGCAGCTCGGCGGCGCCGGGGCCGCATGAACAATAGGCGGCCCGCCCGGCCCCGCCGCCCCCCGCCGCGCCCGGCTGCCGCGGGCGGCCCCCCCTATGGAGCAGCCTGGCCATGGAGCCCCTGAGAGCGGAGGGCGGGGAGGCGGCGGGCGGCGGGCCGCTCTGGACGGCCGTCTTCGAGTACGAGGCGTGCGGCGAGGACGAGCTGAGCCTGCGGCCGGGGGACGTGGTGCAGGTGCTGTCCCGGGACTCGCAGGTGTCCGGCGACGAGGGCTGGTGGACGGGCAAGATCGACCAGCGCGTCGGCATCTTCCCCAGCAACTACGTGAGCAGCGGCGTGCAGGGGGCCGGCCCCGAGCTGCGGGCCCGCTACCCGCCGCCCCCCGCCATACAGCGTAAGGAGGACGGGCACCGGGGGGGGGGGGGGGACCCGTGTGGCCCTAACGAGCCGCGGTGGGAGCGGGGAGGCCCCGGCCTGGCCCCGCTGGGAGCCCGGCAGCAGCCCGGTGGGGGAAGGCCCGGCCCTTTTCCCACCCCTCCGGCGCCCTTCTGTCTTGCAGGCTCGCCGTTCTCTCCGGGGAGGCCAAAGCTGGATCCCCGTGGTAGCGTTTTGCTGGTGCCGGGAGCTGTTTCTCTTTGTTAAGCGCTGCGTTTCTAGGGGCTGGTGAATTTTCACGAAATGAATGAAGCTCCGTGCCTAGGCAGTGGTGGAGGCTCCGGGGGCTCTCCCTTCAAGAACATCCTTAAGGAGACTGTTGCTGGATGGGACATGGTTGCTTTCCGCAGTGTTGATTCACTGCTAATATTTGTTCAATACATTCCTTGCTCCTAGCCAAAAGTCATTATTTTTTTATGTAAAAGAAGCCCCATCTTAATTTGTGTTATCAGGTTCCCCCTTGCCATTTACCTTCTTACAAATTCTGTTCTAAAACGTACCCAATGAGTCTTACATGAATTGGGATTTTGGGGCCTGAGAGTTGCTTGATTCAGGTGTGATGCTGAAGGCGTGAAGGGATTGGCTTGTTCCTAATTTCAGCGCTGTTTGGAAGCTTTTGGAGCCAGGCTTCAAGCCATTTTTTTCTGCTGATTTTAAGTGCTGTGTATGGTTGTGGAAAGAGAAACAGTAAGGAATGAATGTTGCTGGATCCTGTTTCTCTATCAATATTGACAATTCAGGCACAAATAAAGCTTTGGGGGTGGGGGGTGAAGATAAATCATCAGATTAGTAGGTTTTTCTAGAAAGTGAAAAGAGTAAAAAGATGCTTTGTCCTATCTGGGACATATCTCCAAGGAATACAACTAATACCTTCTTTTCTCATTCTTTGTCTCCTTGAAAGCATTTAAGTAAAAAACTCAGTAATTCATAGCATTGCCCTTGGAACTGTGAAGGGACTAGGTTGGGCAGTGGGGGTGCTTTCCTTCCTGCTGGAACAGCATGGATTTTCCTTTCCCCATATACAGAAAACACTGCAAACATTTAGTGGGTTTAGTTTTGAGGTGGTTGTGAAGAACCATTTCTTCAGAAATTTTTGAAGCCTCAGCTTCCCTCCTGTTTTGCCTGTTTTGTTTTTTGCCTGCTTTTGCAGTCTTTGTAAATGTGGCCTTCCTGCCCTATTACACTTCTCATGGCTGGGGATGGTTCAGGAGCAGTTGTGGAGTTGCACCTTCCCCTTTTACCCTTGTCTTACCCTTCTGCTGCCCTAACAGGAGTGCACTACCTCTGTTCTCTCAAGTCAGCAGCCATATGTTCATGACGGAATAGAACTTGTTCCCCTGCAGTGAGTTTTTAATATTCTAAGGGGCTGTGGTGTTGTGTTGGTTTTTTTTGGTTTTGTTTTTTTATAGAAGCAATGATTTGGACAGGTGTTTAGGTTGGTTGCTGTTGAATTGAATTTCCAAGTTTAACGTTATAAACCTCTCTGCCCTTTGCAAGGACTGAGGCTTCGCTTTAGGGCTGGTTTAGTTAGTTTGAAAGCTGTTTGGAGTAACAATCTACTTGCTCACTGGACTACAGAGTAAGAATCTTCTGTGGCAGTAGTGCAAGGAGTAACTCCAAAGATGTACAACTCCGTGGAGATGCTATTTTTAGTTGCTTTCCTAAAGTTTATCTTCATGTTTCGTGAAGGTGTTGGAGTGCAAGTCCTTGAGATTTTGTTTCCGCTGAGAGCTGTGCTAGCAGGTAGCAGCGTGCTGGCTTTCAGCCGTCGGGGTAGCACGCTTGAATCTTACCTCAAGGGTACCCTGATGGTACAAGTGTGCTCCCCCTGCGGTGCCTGTTGAGGCTGTCAGCAATGGGCAGGTCTGGAGGACCCTTGTCTGCACTGCGGGCTCTTAGACACTGCAGACCATGTTAAATAGCTTAATCACACAGTATAATAAATAGCAATTAAATAGCAGCTACTTCGCAGTTGGGTGATGAGGCGCTGGAACAGGTTGCCCGGAGAGGTGGTGGGGTTGTGGATGCCCCATCCCTGGAGGTGCTCAGCGCCAGGTTAGGTGAGGCCCTGGGCAACCTGCTCTGCTGGGTGGCATCCCTATCCGTGGCAGGGGTTGGAACTGGGTGAGCTTTGAGCCCCTTCCACCTTGAACCATTCTCTGACGTGGCCACTGGTTCATGGCTGTGATTCCTTATCAGTCCCCAGAGGAGTGATAGCACTTCACTTAAATTCTACGGCAATAAGACCAGCGTGTTAAATGCCCCCATTGCCTGGACAGTGTGCAGCATGTCCGACAAATGAAACTGGAGTTTAGAAAAGGGATTTGAGTGCTTAGAAATGTGAGGAAAATGAGTCGTTTGTGCACTAGGGTAGTAGCTG